TTACTTCTAATTTACATATAGTTCATATAAGAATAATACCAATTTATTTAAGAAATTATCGTGAATATGAAATGATCGTACATATGTTAATAGAATAACCTAACTTTAAAGGCCATTTATTAGTGATTTAATAGTTTTTCTTAACTATTTACATAAACTTTACCTACACCTTAATATAAATTCAAAGTAAAAACAATATAACTGACATTTACCAGAGCAATGTACACATCATTATTATCATCATCATCATCAAACAACACAACACTCAACATCCTTTTTTAGTCAACTGGTGTTATTACTGAAAAAGGACCTTGCCACAACTAGCAATTTAATCCGTTTTTACTCATGTGGCCAATAATAAACAAAAGAAAATAAAATCTGTACAAGAAGTACAAAATAAAACAAAAACGTAATGTAAAGAGAAAAGAATATAAAGTGAGAGATACCAGAAACAAACAACGGCTCATAGGTGGGTGGGAAAAGGGGGTATTAAATGTACGTCATCATCAATTGACAAGATTGACAGCAATTTTTGGTTTTTATTTATTGTTTATTGTTGCTGCTATAGTAGTAGCAATACTTGTTGTTATTGTTGTTGTTGTTTATGTATTGACTGGAATTAAATTCAAGTGTTGCCATTGATGGATGTGATGTTTGCCTCTACAATGATAAACTCATACACATCTTTCATCTTCAATTTAACAATAAAAAACAACAAAAAAGCAACAAGCCTTTTTAATCAATTGTTTATAGACAGTTTTCGTTTTGAATGTCACTTGTCAATTGAGTTGGTATAAAGAAAAAATTAAAATGAAAGTAATCAAGCATTTATTGTTTTATATGTTTTATTACTGAGGATTTTAAATTTAAATACAAAGAGAGATTTTTTTTGGGTTTTAATAGATTTATGAAAGCTTTTTTTTTTCATTTTTAGCAAAAAAGAAACAAAAAAATTATTTATACTTTATATTGATTTTGTTAAAAGAGCAAAATTGATTGCATTTTTGTAAATCTTAAATTAATTGTTGTTATTTTTTAAAATGTCAAAAAATCGATATTTCTTCTGAAATATTTTTAGGTTATAAACAAATTTATTTCTAGAATTAATTTTTTAACCAGGAAATGTGTGTTTTTGAAGTCATCATTTTATGCGTCAGTGCACATAATGCAAAAATTTTATTTACACATTTAAACAGATTGTAATATTGAGTAAAATTATAAACATTTAATTGCTTTGAAAAAGTTTTAATTTAATTTCATTATTTTTTATTCATAATTCAGAAAATTTTTTAAATATTTCTTAGAATTTTCGAAAATTTCTTAAAAATCTTACATTTTGAATAATATAAAATTTCATGAAAATTTTGAAATTATTTTTTAAATTTTTTAGTTCCAAATTCAATTTAATTGAAGAAACTGACCACAAAGAATTATTTTTATGACATTAGTTTAACAAATTGAAGAGTTTTTCGAACATAAGTTCGAATTTTCAGCATAATATTACATTGTAGTGAATATGAGTATAAGGAAACTGATTATAATCTATATATATAAAAGAGTAGCGTTACTGACTGACTGATTCATCATCGCACAGCCCAAACGGCTGAACCTAGAATCATGAAATTTTGACAGTAGATATGTTTTTGGTTATGTGAATCCACTAAGGAGGGATTTTTGAAAATTTGTACATTTACGGGTAAAAAGGGGAAAAAACGGGTAAAACAGGTTTACTTAATTATCTTACACAATATTAGTGATACAAGAAAAATTTTAAATACACCTGTATCTACTCTTAAAATGAGCAGATGGGTGTCTGGTACTTTTTTGAAATTCGTACTTTTAAGGGGTAAAAATGTGTAACAATTGTGATTTTGGTACCTTTTTTGGCCCTTTATAACTTTTGAACTAATTAGCATAATAAAATTTGTATAAATATTTTGGATACATCTCCCAAAATTATGAGACACCTGTTTCGTACTTTTTTAATATTCAGTCCTTTTTGGGTGTTAAAGGGAGAAAAATGTATTTATGGTACTTTGTTTTAGCCAATTAAGAAAACTTTTTCGGTTTATTGAATTATTCCTATTAAATTACAGACTAACTCTGTAATATTTCTTGTAATAAAATTTTTGCTATTTCACTGGGTAAAAAAGTACCAAAAAGGGAAATTTAATTTTATTCAAACTCATTGAGCCAATTTTTATAAATTTTAAAAAAGTAGTTTATTTACTCACACAAAATAAGCTGTTGGTATATTATTTTGGAATTCGAGTACTAAGAAATATATGGGACCAAATTCGAGTAAATTGTTTGGTACTTTTTGAAAGCACTATTTTTCTGGAACAAATGAATGCAGATTTGAATCGTTTGAGTTTTATCTGTGATATATAGTTTTACATAAGTATGGAACATTTTGTAAACTTAATTCTCAAAAAAGTATATTTCTAAGCGAAAAGGGAAAAAATTTTACTATTTTCATTAGTACTTTCCACTAAGGTAGAATTTATTCCACTTTTGGTACTTTTTCATTCTTCAAATGATACTTTGTATGTTTTGTAATATGAATTCAAAACACATGATTATTAAACATACACGGTCCTCATTGAATAAGATTCTTTAAGAGAGAACTTTTTAGTACTTTTTATATCATAAATGGTACTTTTTTAATTTTCTAAAATATTCCGAGAACATAAATTTTAACATACGTGGTCTTGACTAAATAATATTCTGTAAGTGGGAAGTATTTGATACTTTTTTATTCTTCAAATGGTACCTTTTAGATTCTTTATAATGGTTAACCGGAACACACGGTCCTTATTAAATGAGAATTTATTGAGAGAGATTTTTGTACTTTTTCGTTTTTCCGATGGTACTTTTTGATATTTTTACGATATTGAACATAGAAATATAAAAGTTAAAATAAAATAAGGTCCCTAGTGAATGAGAATCTACTGAAAGGGACTTTTGGTACTTTTTCATTTCATCAAATTATATTTTTTGAATTGTCTATAATATTTAACACAGAAACATAAAATTTTTGATTAAATAAGAGGTATTTTTTAGTACTTTTTTTCAAATAGTTATTTCGAATTTTTTTTTATAATGTGGAAGCTAAACGAATGAAACTAAAAATACAAGCTTCTTCCTGAATGCGAATTTATTCATGTGATATTGAACGTAAAAAACTGAAACATTAAAAAATTTTTAAATCAATTTTAATTTTCTATAAAAGTAAACAAAATTTTGTATGTATTTAATTTAAGTTAGGGTACCGAAGCACCCAGGGTATGCTAGTTCAATATAAAACTTTTAAAATTTCATAATACAATGGACGTTACGTGTTACTATGACACGGCGATGTCCTAGCAGATGATTAAAACCTCTAAATACTTTGTAACTAATGTAAATGTACTATTGTATCTATTAGACGTATGTAAAGACATACCACAGAAAGTGAAACTTTACACTTCTTCTCCTTCAAAAGTAGATTAGTGGTCTACATTTTAACATATGTATAATGAATAGCTATATATGATAATCACGCAAAAATATAATTCTACATAGTTGATACTTAAATAAACTAGTTTCTAAATACATATATTCTCATATTTATTATTGTTATAAAGAAAACACGACAATAATTTGCATAATATAATTGAATATTATTTTTCAATTAAACTGCATAAATCTATTAATCTTTACCAAAAGCATACAAAATCTTCTTACTTTTCTTTAGCAACAAAAAAAAAAAAAAAAGTTAAATCAAACCATTAATAGAAGATGCTCAGACAACTCAGTCAACTAATCAAGAATATTGTATGAATAAATAAAATAGCAATAACTTGATGTCAAAGTCTATTAAAATCTTAAAGCTTAACGAAAAAAGAAAAAAAAATAGTCAAAATCAAAGTAAACACTCTATACACTATTTAAATTAAATGTGCAACAAGAAGAAAAAAAAAAAAAAGAAATAAATCTATTTAAGATTACCTACATCGGCGAAAAATAAACAAAATATGAATATATTCATATTCCTTAAAAGATCACCACTTGACAGTTAATAAAAAAGAGTAGATGTAGAAGAGTCTAAAGTGTATATACTAACAACGACCATTGAAAAATGATTAAATAATTAATCACTCATTCACATCATGGCAACGTAAAGCCTAACTAAGAAAAGCAACTGGTAAGAAATAGCGTTGCAAAGATCTATTTGCAAAAAGAAACAAACTATCTTAAAGACCTCCATAGAAGATCTCATTTAGTTGAATGGTTGCTGTGGTGCAGATCAGTGATTAAAAGAGTTAAATAACTTTGTTCTTTTGAAGTTTCAATAATTTGAGAACTAAACGCGACTAAAGAGAATATCGGAAACTTAGGCAATAGCTAATCGGATGCTTCCTTAGGTTATTAGGGAATGTTCTAGTCTTAAGTAAGTTTGTGGATTCATTTTCCACTAAAGTCTCTGGGAAAGGGGTGCATAACAGGACCGATAGTGACATTTCTTCGGATCTGATGTAACATTCTCCTTACAAACTAACTAAATAACAGATCAACCCACTTACTAGCCAAAGAAATCTTTTGAAAATTTTACGAATATTCTTTCAAAGGGATTTGCTAAAAAAGCTCATAGATATGTTAATTTTAAATATAACCTTTTATGGAGTTAACGGGCAACAAATATACATAGTTCAGCTCCCATCGGTATTCTTTACAAATTAAACTTATACCCATAAAGAAATAAAATTTAGACGAAGTAGATAGAATTCAGGATTGAATTACTTTAAAACTCTGCTTATATAATATGTAAAAATATATGTATGCTTATTAGTTCATTACAAAGTTTAACAAAACAAAAACTAGATTTAGACGCCACCATGGCAAAAAAAAAAGCAAGCCTTAAACAAAACTTGACAAGATGAAGGGCAACACAATAAAAAAAAAAACTATATAGCAACAATCATCAAAACTATTAAGAACTATAAAATTTTCTTACTCACCTGCTAAATAGCGATCACTTTGAGAACGTGAATAGCGAAGGGTCTAGAATAAAGGAACAAATAAACGTAAGAAAAAAAAGTTAATAAAAAACTGAATCAACAAATACTTAAAATTTACATCAAGGGAAAACTTTTGACTTCTCTTAATCAACATTTAATTAAACTTTTAAATACAAAGAAGTCCCACAGTTCAACCTTTATGTAAATCAGCCAATTGGCAAACACTTACCACATTCTGGTTGGCAAAGTCATCACGACGTTTCTCTTGTTTCAATAACAAAGGCGCCGAATTTGATTTCGTTGAGAGCTCTTGGGTATCTAAAATTTCATGACCACTATGCAGCGAGGCACTGCTAGGCGAAGGTAATTCATGGAAATGTGTAGGCGCCAACAGTGACTGAAAGGGTTCTTGGCGCAAAGCCAACGAAAGTTGATTACGATCCTTGTGACGATCTCTTAAATGTTGTAGTTTACGTGCCAGCTGGGCTTGCGACTGGTGATGAGCATGAAATTGTGTTTGCTGGGTGGCCGTATGATGATGATTGTAAGAATTGGGTAACGATGAGGTGTCTAACGAGTGACTGCGACATTTTTGTGCTCTACTGTTATGTGGGGAACCGTGTAAAGTTTGTGTGGGATATGGTACCATTATGGGGGAAGCAGCATATTTGCGTCTTAAAACCACACCACTGGTATCACTTTGAGAGCCATTGTTAAGGGAACTATTGGTTCTAGTACTGTTGCTGCCAGCACTAGCACTGCTATTATCACCATCTTCGGTGTAATCACAATCACAATATGTAACCACCTCAAAATCATCATGACCCTCATCATCTTCATCAACCATATCGTAATCATCCATATCTTCCTCGTTAACTTCCTTAAGAGATTTAGTGTCTGTCTCTCCCACCTCATCATCATCATCTTCGTCATGAGTCTCATCACATAAACTTAATACCTCAAGAAGATCAGGATCATCGGAAGAGGTAACTGAACTTCCTTTTTGGAATTTCATTTTCCTTAAAACATCTAAACTGGTTATGGATTCATTGTCCTGTTGATTGTGGTGATGATGATGGTGGTGATGACGATGTGGCATACCTCTCCAATAGGAGATATCTTTGGGTGGTGTAGCTGTACCAATACCACTCTCATTATTATCATTTTCCATACCCGAACTATCTAGTGATATACCAGATTTACCAGAACTTAAAACACCAGATGCTTCTTCACAAGCCGAGGATGAAGTGGAGCTACAAAGAAACAAACACACACAAAAACAAGAAAATAAGATTAAAAAACTTTAACAATTTTGTTGCATTATTAGTTAAGATATTAAGTGTTAATGAATGAGTACATGAATGACTTCGAGTAAACTATACAAGTTTTGCTGTATGTTTTTTTCGCTCTTTCTCGCAATTCTTAAACAAGTGTCAACATGTCAGTAGATTTCATAATTCATATCTGAAAAACACTTGACAGTTCAAGGAGTTTTTAATGAATTAAATAGTTTATTTCTTCATTTCTTTTAACACAGCCTAGCAGACAAGAACTTTAACGAAATATGTATTAACGAAATTAATCACAATGTCATTAATAATGTTGTTATTTGTCAACACGCAAAGCTTTTGAAAAGCGGTCTGCTTTGTTTAGTTGTATTTTAATCGTGTTTCTTTCAACTTGTAGAACTGCTTAAGAGCTTTAAGATTAAAAAGGAAGCTGGTTTATAATGTGTGTTTTTTTATTTTCATTTCATTTCTAAATGTGTTCTATTAGAAGAAGCTTATAAAGACAAGTTCATTGAATTCTATGAGCGGAGCTGTTGGTAAGTGAAATTGTTACCAATCTCAATTAAGGTCACTTTGAACGAACTTGCAATTTTAGTAAATTTTCATAATTTCTCTAATTTCTCAAAATTTTCTTTTAAAAAAGGAAGTTTTGTTTAAATAAAATAAAAATGTTTTTTTTTTTTTTTTCTTGAAACTTAAATGAAAAATTTTTAAAAAACTTGACTCCAGTTTCAACAATTTTGTTTAAGACCAAAACACAACAAAGTTATCGAACAAATTGTAAATGACATTTATAGCTTTCACACTTACAATTGGATTCTTCGAAGAAATCTCCATTGAAAACTTAGATTTAATTTGAAATTTATGCTGCATTATAAAATAAAACTCTCTAAGGAGATTATTAGCCAAAAAATAAAATTCTAACACAAGAAAAGCATTAAACAAAGATTAAAGTTTAACAAAAAAACATTCCAAACAACTCCCCAAAGAGGCCACACATAAACAGCTCAAGCAGACAGTCGTACAAAGTTACCAACAGCCAAGCTAGTCACTTAGGCAGGCGCATTAGCCATGGACATTAGAGCGGCCCCGTTTGTAGGGAGAAAATATTATGGACTGATGTTTCCACCGAAAATGAAAGCTTGGTTCATTTTAAGATATCACATTACCTTTGATCCAGCTCACCGAATATTGATGCTAGGACAAAAATTTTCAAAAATTATAACTTATAATTTAGCAGTAATACCAGCCATCTCCATTTTTGGGTCACCCTAATGGACACACTTCTACAGTTAAAAAGACTCTTTAAGTAATTATGTCTCAATGGATTAGAAACATAAAGAATCGAATTACAACAAAAACACACTCACATAGACAAACATTGTATTCTTTTCATGCAACAATCAAATCAAAATGTTATAAATGATGATGATACTTACTTATTGTCTTCATCGACGGCGCCAACACTCCTTAATATCGATTCCTCCGATGTCCAGATAGTAGAGGTTGAACCTTTTTTGGTAGCATCACTGCCATGTAATAGATGATGATAACTTGTTGCATTATGCTGTTGTGTTTGTGTTTGTTGTTGTTGCTGTGTTAACGGGCTAGAGTTAACTTGTTTACCAGCAACACAGGTCATCACACCACCAGCCGCTATACAGGGGGAGTTGGTGGAAACGGAAAGTTTTTTTGGTATTGCCGCCGTCATGGCAGATGATGATGAGGATGACGATGTTGTCATAAGATTTTTATGTTTATTATTATTGTTCAAATTGCTGCTGCTGCTGCTGTTACTATTGTTGCCGCTATAGTTGCAATAGTGATTTTGTTGCATTAAGGCTGACAATTGTTGGCTTTGATCTATGGAAGTATTGCGTATATTATCCATTTCAATATTCAATTGACGTAAACGTTTCTGTTGTAAAGTTTCTAAATCTGTTGTTGAGGACGTAGAGGCTTCTTTTAAAGCACCATTGGCCAATGAAGCTGATGGCAATGTCTCCTCAATTTTTAATATGGTTGTTGGAGTTATTTTAGTTGACATCGTTGACTTAGTGTCATTAGTTGTTTTCGACATCGAGCAGGAGGCAGCAGTTAAAGCATTTAAAGCGGCTTCATTGCTTTGGAAATTTGTCAGATTCTGTTGCAGCAGTTGTTGTTGTTGTTGTTGTTGCTGCTGATCAAATGTAGCATTAAATATACTGCCTCCTGCTAAACTATTACGTTGTTGCCTTTTACTATGCGACGTTGCACTTGTATTACTGCCACATGTTGCCTTATTGCCATGATTATGATGTAGTTGTTGGTAAATATTATGCGAAGGCGATGGTGTCGGTGCCGATAATGTTCTCAGGTAGGCAACATTCGTTTTAGTCACATTGCCACCTGAACTTGTTGTTGCCGCCGTACCACTTGTATTATCTAAACGTCCGCAATCAAGGTTAAATGATTGTAATGGTATAGTTGCCTAGAAATGGTAAAAAATAGCAAAAAAAAATTATAAATATGTTAAAAAAACGTTGAAAAGAAATCTTTAAATTTAAAAATAAAGAATGAAATAGTATATATAGAAAACTAAACTCTGCTATGGACAAACCAACAAAAAAAAAAATCATGATTATAATGATAATCATGGTTGCTGTGGTTGCAACTAAATGAATTCCTTTGCAATTTTTCTTCTGTTTTCATCTTCTCTGCCCAAAAATGAACCCCATGCTGTCTTATCAGTGTCTCTTCTGTAAGAGACACCGCCATATGTTCACTTTGTTCGTTTAGTTGTTTCGTTGGCTTAGCTTCTTTTCTTAGTAAGTTGGCTAGCTGGCTAGTCAGTTGCTTTGTATACTACTTAGTTGTTACGTTTGTAACTATTTAGTGTTTCATTTTTTTTCTTCATCAGGTTTTGTTTTCTTTTTTTTCGAAATAGTTGCCATCTCGGTAGGTTAACTATTTATGAAAGCGACATGTTCCAAAATGTCATGAATCGTAAATGCGCGTGATTGAACAACAATACCTGACTTCAAGTTCAAAGGATGCACTAAGAGAATTGCTGAGTAGAAATTTTTTTTTTTATATAAAATATCTTCCCTTAAACTTTGGAACTTTTGAATTATGTGAGATTTCCAAAGAATTAATCAAAATTTTATTTATTTTGGTCTCGAAGGACCATTTATATAATGTAATTTTTCTATTGAATCTGTTCCTAGTTCTAGTGCTGCGATTTCTTAATGAATTTGATTTTCGTCCCTATATTAATCTTTGAAAGGAACAGAAAAGTAGTTTTTTCCCTAATGATCACTAGTTTCCAAATGTACTTTGTGAATTCGATTAATTGGGTTCGAAGGACCAATTTTTAATTACTTTTTTATATATAATATCTGCAATTAAACTTTGAAATTTCTGAATTGTGTGTGACATCAAAAGAATTAATTAAAATTTAATTTACTTTGGGCTCGAAGAACCATTTTTTTCTATTTGAATCATTTTTCTATTGAATCTATTCTTAGTTCCAGTACTGCGATTTCTTAAAGATTTTGAATATATTTATCTTTGTTTTTCTTTATGGTTTGAAGAATACAAATATGCTCTTCTTTATGGTTCGAAGTACTTAAGAAAAAGCTTTACTATAATGTAGAAACATAAAGACAGGCTTTTGAGATTTTTTAGAAAACAGAGCCCAGAAACAGATTATTTTTCTAAATAGCTCCTATAACGATCAGTGGATCAGGTATCCAACTTGAATTCTTTCTTTTCTGGTTCATAGAAAACGAGTGTCAAGTTTATGCGCTTTACTATTCTTTCAGGTTCGAAGGACCCAAAACAAAAAAGCATTAAGATAATGTAGGCTTATAAAAGGAGAAATTTGAGCTTTAAAAAAGTATTTTTTCCCTTGCCCCCATGAATTTAAATTTAATTTTAAAAGCTTTCAAGTTTCTTCTCTCCACTCTTAAGGTAATGTTCATAGAACCCAAAATAAACAGCTTTTGTAAGTCATTAAACGTTTTAATTATATTTTTAATTACATCTCTATAATAAAAGGCTTCATTCTAAATCTAGTAAAACATTTCTTTCAGTGTGGTCAGCTGAAAAAAATATACATATACTATGTAACAACTACTACCAGCATCTTTTTCATATTGTATTCAGAAATGTTGTAAAGAAAAAAAAAAAAAATAAAGATTTCCGTTTCGATTTTTTAAGACTTTTTAAGGACCTTGAATGCGTAATGAGTTTTGCTTCAACGCTGATCTTATTCATGATCATAGTCAGCGTCGTCATCACCAGCATCAGTTCAGTTTTTGTTTTTCTTTTATATATTTTTTTCCAAGCTTTTTTTTTTGTAGGCAACATTTTATCATTCTCATCATGGTATTGCCAACGTATTCACTTCAATTCACTACTCTACTCACTATTCACTATTGTATTTTTATGTAAATTTTTTCACAATTTTTTTTTCAGAAAAAAATTGTTCAACTTCTTTGTATTTTTATTTAAAATCAGTATATATTTTTGTTGTTGCATGTATAAATAAACTATCGTCTTTGACTATAAGCGTCAAAGCATATCATTTATGTTGAACACAGAAGACATTTGACAATTTTCAGTTTTTTTTTTCTTTCATTCGTTTGTAATTCAGTGAGAGAGTAGAATGTTGTCTTAAGAACACAATTGATATTGAGGATGTTGCTGACGTTGTTGGCTGATGATGATGATGGCCTTTTTACTAAGGCTAATACCATTTCATATGGTCTATTGTCTGTTATTATATTTGTGATGGGTTCCTGAGCGGCATAAATATATTTTATATTTGTTTTGTATACAATTTTCGGTTTAGCTTTAGAACAAACGTACCCATCATCAAGGTTGTATTCAAATTTATGAGACATTAAAATGACAACAATGTTTTTTGGCTGTATATATGTGAATGTTGCTAAACATTATTGACATTATATGCAGTTTGATATGGTATAAAAGTTTTTAAAGATTGCTTTGTGTTTTTTTTTTCTTGGTAGGAGTTTTTCAAACAATTTAGCTTCTTATTAAAACAAAAATACTAAATTTTTATTAACAAAGTTCAGGGTCATGGTTGATGCAATTAGTAATGAATATGAACAACAAGTTCAAAGATTTAAATTGACATTTGGTAAAAAGTTTTATTTAAAGATTTTGTTAAAAGGTTAAGGTTACTTGTATAGCGAAGAAGAATACAAATTCTTCTCTGTCCAGAGATTTTTACTAATTTATAATTCAAGTTAAGTTTTTCTTCTTTTCTTTAATTAAACAGAGAAAATACATTTTTAAGCAATTTGTTGTAAAATAAAATAAAATTTTAATTATTTATAAACTCATCTTAAAACCTACACACGCAGCCAATTTTTAATAATTCACATTTATAGTGTTTTCCTTTTTTTTATTATTTAAACATTTGCAATATATAAATACTTTTTTTAAACTCTTTTTATTTAATTAATACAACATGGTTTGTAAATTACACTGGAGGACTTGCATTAAATATATTATTGAAAAAAATCACTGCACTGCTCTCCTGTAAACGAGCCAGCGGTAGTAAATGTAATTAAATGGGAGAAAAAAAAAAAGTTTTAACTGAAAAAAAAAAAAAAAATTCAGCCAAATGGCGACATAAACCATATTTGGTCAATAGCAAGACAGACGCTACAACGACATTTAATGAAATTAAAATTACAACAGCAACAAAAAAAATTGCTGCAATCGCAACAATTGTCAATAGGCCTATAGACAAATACTGTTGCAGCAGCATCGACTGAAACATCAGTACAAAATCCCAACAAACAAACAACTAAAAAAACAATGAAATGTATGTTACACAATGTTGTAATTGCAGAGGACATGATAAAAATCAAAAGTCTTTTTTTGTTTTTGTATAATAATACAAAAAATAATTTAAAGTTTACAATAGGTACATACATCAAGGACAAAATGTAAGTAAGTTCAATAGGAGTTGTATTACGGTCCACTAAATATGTTGTAGCTACTTTTAGATATCTGTTTGCATTGAGATTTCTGCTCTCGAGCCATCAGTGGCTTAGAATTATTTTTGTTGGACATCAGGGTCCAAATTGTCACCTTTATGATCTATTAACTTCCAACAAATAGAAAAGTTTTGATCACTTCTCTGGATGTGATGACCGAAATAAATTTCGCTCTAAATATAGATTAACAGGATCTATCCCAATTAACCTTCAAACCCTATATCGAGGTGGATACATTGAGAAAAGTTTTATACAAATTATGAACTGTCAAGATAAATAAATCGATAGACAATTTACTATAGGAGTCGATGGAATCCCAAATAGGGGAACTTAAATGTTTTAAAATCAAAGAAATCACATTAAATTTCTCTAGAACGATTTTGAGAAGTAGTTATTGTGATCTTTAAAGTTTACTCCATAAAAACAAAAACACTGGAGCAGTGTACCTTCTAACTTGACCTCGAAATAGAGATCGAAGTAAATGCTGATCGAATATGTTTGATCTCAAAATATCCCGCTAAATAACGTTATGAAGTTTCCAGTAATGTGATTATGATCTTTAAACGATTGTGCAATTATCAGGGCACCTTGAGCATAAGTCGTCATATAGCAGTTGAGATGATATTAATGTAGTGGTGAATGGACTTCAGTAAGTAGAATCTAGAAATATATACAGATATTGCCACTAACATGATCAGCGGGATCGTCTTTTCTATTAAACTTAGTGGCGTAAGGTCTCTCTTTGAGCTCAAACTTCAGAATAAATATTCAAATGTTCTCAATAGCTCTCTTATAGGAGTTAATATAAACTTCTCCATCGATTGAAAAATAGCTATGAGAATGAAATCGAAACCTGTTAATGTCTGCATAAAACCAATATTCTGTATAAGAACAAGGTCAGAAGTCAAACATCTGTTATTTTATTGAAAAGAATATGGACGAGAGGGCCTACTTCAAGACGGAAAGCTTTTGAAGATTCCAGTAATGTGATTATGATCTTTAAACGATGGTGCAATGATCAGGGCACCTTAAGTATAAGTCGTCATACATCAGGTGAGATGATATTAATGTAGTGGTAAATGGACTTCAGTAAGTAGAGTCACGAAATATATACAGATATCCCCACTAACATGATCAGCGGGATAGTCTGGCGCAAGGTTTAAATGCATTAAATCTTAAAAATCTTAAATCTCTTTGAAGCTCAAATTTCAGAATAAATATGCTATTGTTCTCGATAGCTCTCTTATAGGAGTTAATATAAACTTCTCCATCGATTGAAAAATAGCTATGAGAATGAAATCAAAACCTGTTAGTGTCTGCATAAAACCAATATTCTGTATAAGATCAAGGTCGGAAGTCAAACATCTGTTATTTTATTGAAAATAATATGGACGAGACGGTCTATTTTAAGTAGGAAAGCTTACTTTGTGATCTCCAGGGCTTCAGTATTGGTAATCAG